GCAGGCGCCTGGCCAAGAGGCCACGCATCTGAGGTTTGGCCAAAGCACTGGAAGCCACGGTAGGTACTGTCCTTGATGGGTTGCCAAGCTCAACGCGTCCTTCCCAGCTCTGCCCAATGGCTTTTAAGTGAAAATGTCATCACACACATGTCTATATGTTTAGCATTTTCCCAGTTAAAGTGATTTTAATTGCTCTTATAATTTTCTGGTTTCTAAATTACACAAGGAAAGCCTAAAGAAGGAATTTTTAGTACAGAGATCATCATTTTTTTTTTCATTTTGGTTTTCTTTTATTTTCCTTATTTAAATGTTTTATAATTTTTAAACTTTCAATTTTAGTATTCTTACTTTTTAGCAAAGCAAAGGCTTTAACTAAGCCAAATTCAAATCTGCAGTAACAACTTCCTCTGAATCTAAGTGTCTTGTTTCCACGGACGGAGAGAAATGATGATATTCACTTAGATGACAAAGAATCTAAGTGTCTTGTTTCCATGGATGGAGAGAAATGATGATATTCACTTAGATGACAAAGAATTTTTAACCCTATCCTCTTATTTACTCAGTGTGGAAAAGGTTGTTCACTTTACTCTTTTGTTGGAACAAAGCATAGATGGAGTTTAAAGTTTGGAGCACTGTTCATTAATATTAATTCCCAGAGGCCAGGCATGGGACCCTCAGCTACTAGCACTGGCCACTTTCCATGCAACAGGCACTCAGAAAATGCCAACAAGAGTAAATCAGAAGGAAATTAATTCTGAAATTATTCTTCCTCTGGCTGCCCAAGCTCTGAGCTGGCAGTTTTAACCTCAACTAGAACAGACATATGAAAAAGGCTACAGTAGCTGCAGAAGTAGACTCCAAAAACGCAGACTTACTTCCCAGAGTTGACGCCCTTCATGTGGTCTGTGTAAATATAGATGTCAGGTATAAACTTGTTGAGGAGGCTCCTTGCAGAGTCCACAATCCGGTTCGCCATCTGAGGTGACACACGCACAGAGTACCTGCAACCTAGAGTTAAGGATGTCATTCTGCTTGGACTTCAGGACGGAAGAGTCACTTATAAAGCTGGCAAACATTTGTGGAACTCTACTAACACACTGAGACTTCCAATTGTATTTAATTACTTAACTTTACAGTACTATAATTCAATTTCTTCATTATAATTATATAAGGCTTGCGTGGTCATGGTGAAAAAAATCCAAACAATACAGAGAGTAGGAAGTATAAAAAGTAAGAGTTCCTCAACCCTGCCCCGACTTCCTACCCACCTCACACCCAACAGAACCTAAGGCCAGAACCGACGCCCCACTGGGGCTAGCCTGAGTCAGTGCCAATGCACACCCCTCCCCACATGTCAACGAAAAAATAAGTATGTAGTGTGTACTTACAATGTTCAATGTACGGTCAAGGGCTGCTTGTACATGTGGGACTAAAGACATGCAAAAATAAGAACATGTGATCTTCCCACTACCCTGATACAAATCCCACAGGGCAAGTCCAAAACCAGGTATGCACAATCTGCATGTTCCAGCCCCACTGTTCAAGAATTACTGTCAATACAAATTTAATTTTCAATTGAGCTATAGAAAACAAAAATGCTCAGAGACCATGCAAAGAACCTGACCCGTCCTACTCCACTAAAAGATCAATCTTATGCTGGCGAGTCTCCCAGACCCTGCTGCCAGAGCTGCAGCCTGCTCGGTGCGGCCATCCCCAACTCAGCACCATCTATCCTCCACCATCCTAATTGTCCAGACTTCTCAATCTGAGCTGCCCTCCCTCTCTTTTCCAGTCTCGAGTTCCCTCTGTCTCCTGAAAACCCAGTCGGCACCCAACTGCAGTCTCCACTGAACTTACCATACACCTCTCTTCACAGACACACATTGTGTTCTTCCTCAAGACCACACACTCCATCAGGGCAGGGGCTTTACTTCTGTATCCCTCACAAGCTCTAATACACTACTTTTGTACTCAGAAATGCTCAATAAATATTTGACTTGACTCAAAGGACAAACTTGAAATGAGGAAAGAGCAAAGGATTTTTCAATACACAGAGCCCGTTACATCACCGCCTCTTTGGTCCAGAACGTACTTTTGACCACAGACAGCTTAGACAAACAGTCCCAGGTCTCACCCTTTGGACCAAGTGGGTGCCCACTCTGAGGCTGCCCACTCTGCCTGGGACAGCACAGGAAAAGCCACTATTCGAACATATAACCCCACAGCGTTCATGGCTCCTGAAGTTCTTTCACCTACATTATCAGTTTATTTTGTGCTCACAGCAACCCTGTGGCAAGGGCCATAATTCCTAGTTCTAGAGGATTACGTGAAGGACAACTAAGACTCAAAAACTAAGATACTTGCTCAAATTTAAACAGATCTGACTCCCCCAAAACATCTTCCTCCCCATACTCCGCCAGAGTTATAGAATCAGGAGGGTAACAGGAACAATTCAGAGCCAATGGAAACCTGTGCTATTATAGAATTCAGGCAGTGAAGTGGAGAAGAAGGCAAAGGAGCTTTAAAGCAGATACATGGAGTGACTTCGAGCCCTCTGGCTTGGCATGGAGGCCCTACTAAGGGATGGCTAAGAACCTAAGTTTCAGAATCAGACTGTGTTCAAGTCCCAGCTCCAGCAAACTGCATCATTCTGAGTCAAGTGTGCTAGCTTCCCGATGCCTTCACTTCCTAATCAGTAAAAGGGTAATGATCGTAACAGTCCTCCCCACGTCTGGAGGTACAAACAAAATAGTAATTAATTAATAGTAATGCATAGTGCTTGTTGTGTGGTAGGAGCCCAGCAAATGTCACCTGTTGCTTTTCTTATTATTAGTCCAAGATTCAAATCCCAAAGCAGCAGTTCCTATCCTTTCAGGAATCAGCCCTCTGAGAATCTTTTGAAAGCTATGGACTCTCTCCTAAGAAACATATGCACACTCACAATTTTGCAGAAAATCACAGGGAGTTGTGAACCTCCTAAAGCCAACTTATGAATCAATACCCAAGAGACAAGTTCATGGATACAGTCCATATGGGACTCTCACCCTTTCACCCACCCTGTGTTCCAGGTGAGAGCTAAAAGAGGTGCATGCATTTATGTATGTGGTAGTGGTGGTGAGTGGGGTAAGGGGTGGGAGTTGATTCTCCAAGTACTTCCCTATAGTCAAGAAAAGGTAACCAGATCACCCCGCAAATTCCAACTCACCCCACCCCAGCTTCTTCACCTAACTCTAGGTACCAAACCATAAACAACAGGACAGCACCGTAAAACTAAACAGAGTGTTCCTTTCTCTGTTGCCTACATCAGGCAGTGGGGAGAATCTGCATGGGTGGCATTAAATAAAAAGTAACTACTGTCTAGTCACAGCTACTGGCAGGAACCCAAACCTGCTCCCTGCCAGACCCTGGCCAATAGATCCTCATGGAGAATGCAAGAGGAAAAAGATGTGCTTTAGGGAGTAACTCAGTTAAAACCACAAATGCACACAAGAGTGGAGCCAGTTCTCCCAGCTCGAGCCCTCCTAGGGGCCTAAGTTCAGTCCAGCAGTCAGCTATCCTTGCATGTAAAAAACCACAAGCCAACTAAAGCTTTTTCCAAAGGCAGCATTTTTTCCCCAGGTCTCAAAACTGGCAAAGAAGGTGATCTCTAGTCAAACCCACATTCCTCTGAGGTGTTTGTAAAATGGGTACCTCTGCAGACCAGTGGCTGGAATGTTTGGTTCGCTGACAGGGAACTGAGCAAGGGCACAGTGTCACTTTTCCAGGGGAGCAGAGAGGAAGCCTCTACAAGTCAGAGATGCATCAGGGATGATTTAGGTGTCCTGTCCCTTGCCTCAAGGAAGGGAGGAACTTGGGGCCTCACAAGTATCTGCCTGACTCAGGTTCTATTCAGGAAAGGTTCACACAACATAAGCGAGAGAAACCAGGAAGGAACAAAGTTACACCCAGACTGCCTGGGCACGAGAGCTCTTTTAGCTTTCATGCTCTCTGGAAAACTCGGAGCCTTCTCCATTCTCCAGTATCCTGGTGAAAGCAGGAAGTCAAGGGATTGGAAATCTTAGGGGGCTTAAAGATCAGGTCTAGTGGAAGTAGATTTGTGTGGTATAAAGGAAGTGAGATTGTGTTTTGGGAATTCTGTTTTGAGATTTCAGATATTAGAAATGGTAAAATCCTAGGTGCTGATATGATCCAGGTAGAGACAGGTATTGGAGGCTAGGGAACTGGAAGGTGACTGCCTTTTAAAAGTGTGACAAGGGAGGCAAACCAGGATGCCTGCTTTGGGGGGTTGTAGGGTGGATGCCTAAAGTCAGTTTTGTATTTTTCAGGAGGTCTGGGATGGCGGTACTTGGAGGAAAAGAAGTGTAGTATAGTGTAGACTTTTCAGAGGCCTTGATTAGTTTGAACAGTAAGTGGTGAAGGATATGGAATGTGTGGGCTGCACAGCCACAGATGGAGAAAGTAAAAGTAATTGAGATAAAGGATCAAACTTGGGGGGCTTCCTGAAGTCTTTGTAGGGATTGTAAGAGCGGAGGAGTATTAAAACTTGCCTGGATTATGGTCTATTCTCTGCATTGCTGCCCAGGGGCCCACCTAAGGGCCAAGCCTTGTGTATACCAGCAGAGAGCTGGGCAGAAAGAGAAACTGTTCCCATCCTATCCAGCTTGATACTTGAATCAGCCCTGTGACTTACTATGTTGATGTTCAATTCTAATATTCTCTAATCGTGAGAATAATTGAGAAACTTACAAGACATGCAGTGCATCTAGAAGTGTTTAAGTAAAAACCTAAATGTGTCTTTTCTACTTAATCAGTGTCAGTTTCAAGAATGATCTCATTAACAGGCACATGGTATTCCATTATACACAAGGTCCGACGAGTTCACAAACTCATCCTAGAATAAGTGCTACATACCTCATTGCTGAATATCGCTATGGTCACCTTCAAAGTGCTCCCCTTGGAAAGCAATACACTGATGCTAAATGCAGAGTCCACCCTTCAAAGCAATTTTGGAACTCTTTTTCTAAAATGGCCGTCAGAGCTGTCACTGTATTAACCTCAATGTCCTGAATGTCATCTTCCTTTCAATATTTCCTTTAACTTTGGGTAAAGAAAAAAGCCATCTTTACCAAATACCTATGGACTTATTCTCGATGTAAGAATTTACACTCAAGGGAGGAGGCAAGATGGCCGACTGGAGCCGGCTTTCTATAAAGACTCTCATCCTAAAGGAAAGTTAAAGGATAGAAGTTTATCAAGTAAGCTGATGGTTTGGAGCTGAGCCAGGAGAGAAGATTGACAAGTGCACATCACCCCTGCTAACGCAAGCTGTGACCCCAAGGAAACAAACAATAGGTACAAAACCCATCATCAAGTGGATGGGAGTCCCCTGCCCCCTGAGAATAGCTCGTAGTGTACTTTCTACAAATGAGGAAGCAGAGTTCAGATCTCTTCTTATTCTATCCCACAGGAGAGACCCACTAAAAACCAGATCTTCTTCACCAGAGAAGACCCACTAGTATGTTATGGCACTCTCCTGCCAGGCATAAAACTGAACATATACTCTACCCACAATTCTGAACTCCTAGCACTCCCCTCTACTCTCACCCCGAGGTCTGGAAGCCTGTCCCCCATGGAGTCCAGATTCTTGGATATTTTCTCAAGAGGCATGGACAAGGCATGGGCTATTATAAGTCTGTGCTAAATCAGTGGCACAGGTGTAAAGTGGGGACTGTGGTGCGAGGGAGCCATATAGGAGAGGGAGAAACAGTACCCCAGGGCAAGAGATTCTGAAATTCCAATAGCAGACAGTTTCAGAATCCCAGCACAACTCAATCCAAATAAAGCATCTCCCACACACATTATAATTAACTTCACCAAAGTTAATATGAAGGAGAAAATTCTGCAAGCAGTCAGACAAAAGAAAACCATAACCTACAAGTGGAAGAATATTAGAATGACTGCAGATCTCTCTGCTGAAACTTTTCAAGCTATAAGAGGGTAG